AATCACAGCAGCAGCTTGTATTACTGCCAATAGTTTTCCAAAATGATACAAATGGCTAGATTTCAATAAAAAAGCATCTCCGTGCTCCTAATTGCATAAAACTGGAGGAAGGCACATGCCACCTCCTTCACCTGGAAATACCCCTCATCGTTTTAGCCCCGCCCCCACCCTCGTCTCCTGCTGTGGAATGCAATAAGAGAGATGTGAATGTGTTTTATGTCGACGTCTTTTGGCATTACAGCAGAAATGCACAACAATAAGCTTAAATGTGGTGAGTGAGCTGCACAATCTGTACAAAGAGGTATTAACTCGGTCTGTGGCTTAAAGTTTGCTTTTGTCTCACACTTAATAGCTGTTGTAACTTATGTCTTTTAGAAAGACAACTTGATTTTGCTTGTACGCTTTTTATGTATTTTTTACAAGTGTAAATAGTTGTTCTATTTTTGTTTAAGAGAATGTTTAAAAAAGGAAGAATATGAATTTGGACAATGAATAAAATGTTAAAGAATTGTGCGTTTTCTTTTTGGCACTGAAAAGTCGCAATAGACATCACACCCTTAAGGTCTTCCAAACTGCACTACATCTCCTAAGAGCCCACTCAGCAGTTGTTCAGGTATTTCACTCTGGAAAGATTTAACAGGATCAAGCCAAATGCAGCTACGGTAATATTTTTGGTGTAGGTTCCACCTTCTTTTGTACTTGACCCGACCTCTCCTAGCGCTGCTCAGATGTCCTTGCTGCTTCTCGGCCTTCTGCTGCGTTAAGCACTCCATCAGATGTGAACAGGGCAGAGAGCGAGCTCGGGTTCCTTTTATTACTCATTAAAGGTTTAGTGTCACACAGAGGTGCATGCTGGTTTTTATTGATTTATTTTGATACTGTAGTGGTCTGTGTCTTTGAGAATTCAGCTCAGAAGATAATTAAAGCACAGTAGCTGAAAAGCACTACGAGGTGGTGCCTCGCTTCCTTTCAGTTAAGTTTAATACGATCAGCATCTACACTCGCTGGCCACGTCTGCTGCTTGTTAAAGCAAACGTCTAATCAGCCAATCCCACAGCAGCACCTCGACACATTTAGGCTTGTAGAGATGGTCAAGTCGATGTGCTCAAGTTCAAACAGAGCATCAACATGGAGATAGGTTGATTTGCGTGACTTTGAAAACGGCCTGGTTCTTGGTGCCTTACGAGCAGAATCTGCTGATCTTCTCTAGTGTTTACAGAGAATAGTCTGAGAAACAAAGTATCCTGTGAGCAGCAATTTTCTGAGTGAGAACAGTTTGATGACAGAGGTCAGACTGCAGGAAGGCAACATTAATTAAAATAACCACTTGTTACAAACCATTATAGAGGAAGAGCATCTCTAAACACATAACACAGTGATCCTTGAAGCAGTTGGGCTACGGCAGCAGAAGACCACACCAGGTGCTGCTACTCCCAGATAAGAACAGAAAACTGAGGCTGTGATCTCCACAGGCTCACCAAAATTATACATTTGTAGATTATAAAATGTTGCATCATTTCTGCTGTGGCATTCGAATGATATAGTCAGTATTTGACATAAATTATGACAACATATCCATCCAATCTTGTATTAACGGTTCAGGCTAGCAGTCATGTAGGGGATTTTTTCTTTTTTGGGCCCCTTGATGGGGGCAAGAGACTTACTTCCAACTACTTACTTCAGACTTCATGGCTCAGTTTGTGCTGTGACATGTACTGTCAACGGACCCTTATAGAGACGGGTGTGCGCCTTTCCAAATCATGTCCCATCAAGTGAATTTACCAAAGGTGGACTCCAATCAGGTTGTAGAACCATCTGATCAGTGGAAACAGGATGCACCTGAGCTCAATGCTCAATTTGAGTGTCAAGGCTGTGAACACTGGTGTACATGTTATATAGCGAAACAAGTGAAAAGTTGTGATTTCTTTCAGTAGAAAGAAAGGATAAATAGGTTCACTTTTATGACCAAAAAGGACAAATTCAAGTGATGCTGGGTAAACTTTTGCTTCTGTGATGAAGTTAGAATGATGCGTAATGGAGACGGGGTTAGCCTGGCGGGAGGAAAAGTGTGTTAACCAGCATGTTCAAAGAGCTCAACTCTCCACTTCAGAGAGAATATTCCACAACTACAAGAAAAGTGAAAGTTCAGCTTCAAGAGGGATTCAGCTAGAAATGAGCTGGTAAAATTACACACAGCTTCAATTATACATCACAA